TGGTGTGTAAAGTGTGGAGTGTGGAGCGTAAAGTGTAGAGTGTGGAGTCTGGAGTGGAAAGTGTAAAGTGTGGTGTGTAGAGTGTGGAGTGTGGAGTGTGGAGTGTGAAATGTAAAGCGTAGAGTGTAATGTAAAGTGTAGAGTGTGGAGTGTGGTGTAGAGTGTAAAGTGTAGAGTGTAAAGTGTAGAGTGTGGAGTGTAGAGTGTAAAGCGACGAGTTTAAAGTGTGGAGTGAGGAGTGTAAAGTGTGGAGTGTGGAGTGTAAAGTGTGGAGTGTGGAGTGGAAAGTGTGGAGTGTGAAGTGTGGAGTGTAAAGTAAGGAGTGTGTAGTGTAAAGTGTGGAGTGTGGAGTGTAAAGTGTAGAGTGTGGAGTTTAAAGTGTAGAGTGAGGAGCGAGGAGTGGAAAGTGTAGAGTGTAGTGTAAAGTGTGGAGTTTGGAGTGTAAAGTTTCAGGTGAGGAGTGAGGAGTGTAAAGTGCAAAGTGTAAAGTGTGGAGTGTAAAGTGTAGAGTGTGGAGTCTAAAGTGTAAATTGTGGAGTGTGGAGTGTAAAGTGTACAGTGTGGAGTGCGGAGCTTCCCCCATAGACACGGCGACGCCACAGGAAAACCAGAGACTCGAGACGAGACACGTGGGAGCACCAAAACGAACATTTCGTGCGAGACTTCCTCCAATTTTGATATTTTCGACACGTTATCAAACAGGTTGGAATGTCACAAAGTGCCACGCCTGCCACACAAAACGACATGACAACCTGCTTGGACACATTCGAATAGGAGATGTTTTCCAGCTTCCCCCATAGACGCGGCGAGGCCACAGGAAAACCAGAGACTCGAGACGAGACACGTGGGAGCACCAAAACGAACATTTCGTACGAGACTTCCTCCAATTTTCACATTTTCAACACATTATCAAACAGGTTGGAATGTCACAAAGTGCCACGCCTGCCACGCAAAACGACAGGACAACCTGCTTGGAAACATTCGAAAAGGATATGTTTTCCAGCTTCTCCCATAGACACGGCGACGCCACAGGAAAACGAGAGACGCGCGACAAGACACGTGGATGCAGAAAAAAACATGCATTTTGTGCGAGACTTCCGGCAATTTTCACAGTTGGCAACACGACAAAAAGACAAGTTTTGCAGCTTCCCCCATAGACACGGCGAGGCCACAGGAAAACCAGACATGCGAGAAGAGACAGGTGGGAGCACCAAAACGAGCATTTCCTGCGAGACTTCCGCCAATTTTCACACTTTGTAGCTTCAGAATCGACGTTTTCCTACGAGTTTTCCTTAGAACCTGAAAATTTGCAACCTCAAAATCAATGTTTCGTGCGAGACTTCCGTCAATTTTCAGCACATGTCAGAAAATGCCACGCCTGCCACGGAATTTGCACCTTGTCGCCACTTGACGCAGCCCTGCCAATGCGATTTACAAAAAGCACGCAACAGGACACGTCTAAAGTGCTGCGCCTGCCACGAAAAATGACGATGGACACGTCCAAAGTGCTGCGCCTGCCACGAAAAATGCAACACATCTTCTAAAAACGTCACAAAAGTATTGCGCCTGCCACGCAAAACGATTTTCAACACGTTGCAAAACACGTCTGAATGTCACAAAGTGCCACGCCTGCCACGCGAAACGAAGCAACGACACGTCTGAAACCTCCAAAAATGACCACCTCTGCAAAACTTCCCATAGGCACGGCCATACGGAGTTCGTACGAACGGTTGCGAACGGTTGCGGATGGTTGCGGACGGTTGCGAACGGTTGCGAACGGTTGCGGACGCGGACGCAACGTCGAGCGAACACACTCTCAACCCCCAGACCCCCAGAGTGAAACGGGAACCCTTGCTACGCATTCGGGAAAAACCGTGGAAGAATTCCACGAAATAATCATGGACATGTGGATTTATGAGGATAAAAATTTTGGATTCATTTGGTTTTATATTCCCATTCGACGTTTAAACATCACGACTGTGGATCCTTAAGATGTTTTTTTTGTTGTTTCTTTGATGGTAATGGTGATCATTAGAAAAAACAACTCCATTCCCAGGTTGCCGAAGTCTTCCAGTGAGTATCGCTTGGTCTTTGTCTTCCATACTCCATTCGGATGGACGCCTTGGGCCGTTCCATTCTTGCATGGCGTCTGCCAGATGTTTCGCCAAGCATCCCACCGGATCTTGAATGGCCCAAGGTGAGGAAACAAAATCCGCTGTGGAAATGTGCGAAATTTCAAGGCCCATCATTGTGAAATATTGAATTTCATATAGTGAAAGGATAAATATAGTAAACGGTACACCAAAATAGGTTCTAGCCATTTCTAGCCTATACTTAAAATCACACAAAAGAAAATTGCACAAGGGTAGTAGCGGCATGTAGTTGCCAATGGCCACAGGTCCCGGTGCTTGCGTGCTATCGATGCAAAGATGTACCTGGTCCTGTCGATGTACCTGGTCCTGTCGATGCGAACCTTCAACCGCGGACCGCCGATGATTCCCCACGACAATCCGCGTGAGGACTCGATCCACATCATGGCGGGCGAACACCTGGGCTTGCCGTTTTGGACTCGCTTCAATGCCCACGAGAAGTTCCACCTCAGCGAGTACGTGCGGAGCTTTATGGAGCGGCTCGGGTACCAGGTGAACACGTATGAGGTGATGGATGGTCGTAAGCTTGTCCCCTACCAGTGTGTTGTGGTGCGGCAGCAGTGGGATGAGTTGAGAACATCTTTCGTTGAAGCCTTCCGCGTGCAGAAAGCCGCCTACCGACATGCCAATGGAGGATCATCAACACCGACCTTGACGGAGGCTGCACGTCCACGGTGGATTTCCGCTGCGCATGATGTTTGCCCTGCAGCCCACATCAAAAGTGACTGCAGTGTGCGGATTGGTAATGCCGCTGCCTCTTCGGATTCGACAGATGTGAGTTCTGTGAGTACATTCTTCGTCTAGGTCATTTTCATGGTGTGTTCCAAGTCACTATAAGTCACTCCAAGCTACCCATGGTGATCATATGTTATCATGGTTGAGCATGGTCTTGTTGGCAAAAACCTATGCTGCGTACACTACAATGTGTAGTTCATGGATTTCGTAAATGTACCATAATTATTCTGGGACATACCCATATCACCTGCCTGCAGAGTCCACAAAAAACTCTGTCCGCTTCTCAAAGGGATTGATCAAAAGCCCATTGAAGCATATATTTTTTGGTTAGGTAGGTACAAGACCTCCCTGCGTCCGAAGCTTCCACCAGAGCTGCTTCGCCACAAAGCCAGCCGGTAGAGCTTTACCACAAAGCCAGCCGGCAGATTGTATAGAGTCCTTCGCCGCTTCGGCTTTGTACAGCCGGCTGAGTGGGTACGGAGCAAGTGCTCTGCAAACCCCTCTGCTCGGATCCAGTTTGGATTGCTCAATGTCCCATGATGGCCCTTGGAGGCTCGACACCTCACCTCCAGATACCTCCACCTCGATGGTTGTTGGACATGACCCCCCCTAGTGATTGGGAGACTGGGAGATGTTTGCCTTGCATGAAATGGATTGAAATGGATTGAAATGGATTGAAATGGGACATTTCAGCCTTATCAATTCACATCTTTCCAGATGGGATGAACTTTATTAATTTATTTGATTTTGAAATAGGCGTGTGGAGTTGCCAGTACAGCGATGCGAACACGTGGTACGACCTGGTCGTGCTGGAAGTGATTTGCTCGAACTGAAAGAGTTTCAAGAACCAACTCACCACACGGCTTGCACAATGGGTAAAGTCTAGCAAAAAACTGGGGATAATACCTCTCCAATTTTTTCGAAACATGAAAGACACGTTTAAACCCTATGAAATCCTATGGAATCCTGGATGTGGATTCCTTATGATTCCTTCGTGTCAGAGTGATTCCCAGTTTTTGGACGCCAGAGCCCAGTTTTGTTTGCACGATTTTGCACGTCAAAAGCTCCTCGTGCATCTCGGCGTGGGCAAAGATTCCAGCTTTTTGGAGGCCTCAGCACCCCAATTTACATGCAATTTTGATGTGGCTAATTTGGATGGTGAACCCAAACCAATTTTGGGATACTCTATGTTTGGACACACATTACAAACGCAGACTTTCTGACTTTCTGATGATTTCTGATGTCCTGTATTTCCGAGCTTGCCAGTTATCAAGAAGGGGCCAGCCAGTTGCCTAGAAGATCCCAGCTCTCGGTCGGCATGGCGGCTGTGGGGCCTGTGGCAGACAACCATGGTGCGTGGCTGAAGTTTGCGCCGAGTTGCATGTCAGATGAGCAATGGGAGGTGGCGGCCAAAACACCCGAGGCAGTGCTTTCTCATCGCTCATGCCCTTGGGGTGGTCACCTCATCAAGATCGACTCAAAGACGCTAGATACATCTAGATACTGCGAATGTACCAAACAATGCTGTTCCGTGATCTTCTATGTTTCATTTTGTGACGTGAGTCTCACATGATCTCACATACGTTATGTACAGATCACTACAGATCCGCAGATTCACAACTGCTTCGCGGAATTTCGCGGATATGTTTCTCCGCCAGCCCCAGCCTATGCCATCCCAGGAGCATCTTCATTCAGAAAGCTCCGGAAAATCCCTGCGACGTCCTGGTGCGACCCGAAGTGCAAGCCACGTTTGAAGGCGAGATGGAAATGACTCTTAGGTGCTTGGAAACCCATGCGCCTGGCGATGCGCTTATCGAACGGACCAATTCCATGTGGATCCTCCGTTTCGCAGCCGAAGCTTGGCAAGGATGGTGGATGGTGCTGTCATGGAGAAGTGTAAACTCTTGAGATGGGTGGGGGATACACCAAAAAGATCCAAAAAGATCCACAAGGGCAAATTGATGTATATAAATATAAATTGAGGATCAGGGGCACCCTAGTTTAGACAAACCTACGTGAAGTCCCTACACAGCGGAAAAGAATGCTTTGGAGAGAACGGAATGATGAGAGGGAAACTGTGGGAATGCATCGCAGGCCCTGTGCCGTAACACCCAGTTGAGCCAAGGTCCTTTTTGGCAGCTGTCATGACTCCTTCGCGTACTGCTTCTATCACAAGCTCCCTGTGTTGTCGCAACACCGGCTTTACAAGGATTTCCCTGAGCCAGGAGACTGTACCTACTTCGCATTAGAAGGCTTTTGGACCATGCGCCGTGTGCCAGGTTCGGTCAGTCACTATCGTTCGGTCCTCGTGTTCAATACACCTGAAGACAAATGGGCAACTTGGGCTTCACCATTTTATTCTGGTTTCACAAATATGTTCCACAAAGTAGCCGACAAAGTGTTGAACGGCCCCACAATCAGAGACCTGCGAGCCACTGATGCCAACATGTACTCGGTCCTGACTCTGCAGAGCTTCAATCGCGGGCACCCCATGGTCCCGCAGAGCAAGCCTTGTGAAGACTCTGTCACTGTTGCAGCTGGCGAACATCTCGGCTTGGTGTCTTGGACCCGTTTCAAACCTCATGAGAAGTTCCACCTGAGTGAGTACATGCGGGACTTTATGGAGCGGCTCGGGCACCAGTTGCAGACGTATGGGGTGATGGATGGCCGCAAGCTTGTTCGATACCAGTGTGTGGTGGTCCGGCAGCAGTGGGATGAGTTGAGGACACCTTTCTTTGAAGCCTTCCAGGTTCAGAAAGCAGCCTACCGCCGTGCAAATGGAGGAACAACAGCACCAAGCTTGGTAGAAGATGCTGCTCCACGCTTTGTTTTGCGTGATTTCAGTTGCTGTGCTCAGCCAGTGGGCATCAAAACCATCGTGCGCAAGACCTTCATTGAGATTGATGAAGGTTCAGACCATTCTGCTGGCTGCCTCAAGCGAAGCAACTCGACAGGTGAAGTATTGGCCTACTGTGTGTAGTCAATCGGCAAGCCATGGCTGCAAATTTACGTGCAATGTTCTTGAAATCGGTGTATATAGCATTGTATCGGAATTGTATCGCACAGAGTCTGCAAAGAGTTTGTTGTACAGTCGGGGGTGCAGGAGGTGGTTCCTAGATGTTTTAATTCCTAGATGTTCCTCATGCCTTGCACGCCCCGTTCAGAACATGGCAAGGTGCCAATGTTGGGTTTGGACATGGATGGGGCAGATGGATCTCAAGATCAGCAGAAAGATCGCAGGGCCAATCCCAAGTTCATGCTAGGCGTTTCTCGTGCAGATCCAGAAAGCCCCTGAATGCTCCTGATTTATTTTGTTTTGTGACCGACCTATCCAACCCATTCTGATCCCACATTGGCCAAGCATGTTGACCTGTGCTCCGCACAGAGACGCACACGATCCTTCACGGATTACCCATGAAGTGACTGGATGAAAAGCATCGAATTCAATGATTTTGCATATCCGTCTGGGCACCTCATAGCTTTGAATGGCATAGAGGTTCCAGAATCCAGCGATATCCAGCGAGTCCAGGGTCACAGCAAGGGGACACTGCTGGAGGCGGACTGTACACCACACCCCTTGCAACACCCTATCGCCTGAAGGCTTGATGCCCGCAGTAGCCGCAGGCATGCGACCAGTCGTGTGTGCAAAAGACACGGACACAGCGACGGGACACGTTTGGAGGTTGAGTGCATGTGGTCAGGTCAAGTAATGTGGGAAGCCCAATCATTTAGCATTTAGCCATCCTGATTAATCAATATTAATTTAATATATATTTAATATATTACGATAATATTGATAATATATTTAAGATATGTTAAATCTGTGCTAAAAACCAACCCCAAATGGTAGGTTCATCACATGGTATACATTATTTTATATGCGATATTATGCGATACTTGATGCATTTTGGTGATTTGTATTGATTTGTGGAAATTTGACGACTTTGCTGCCTGTGGGACTGCGTTTGTCAGTTCTCACAAAGGGGCCAAGCTTGCTTAGGGCTTAGAAGAGGATCCCAGCTTGGGTGAGAGGCATGGCGGCTGTGGGGCCTGTGGCAGACAACCATGGTGCGTGGCTGAAGTTTGCGCCGAGTTGCATGTTAGATGAGCAATGGGAGGTGGCCGCCAAAACACCCGAGGCAGTGCTCTCTCATCGCTCATGCCCTTGGGTGGTCACCTGATCAAGATCGACTCAAAGATGCTAGGTGCTGAGTTACGCTATTCCTGGATATTAGTCATGTTTGACTTGTTGAGCTCTCTCCCATACCCTTAAGGCACAGTTGTCGTGAGCCCAATAGGCATGAATAACCCATTTGATAATATGGAATAATGCTTTCATACTCACGGGCGGTATATAATTATGTAAATATTCAATGGGAATTTCAGGATCCTAAATTGGAGGTACCTACCATATATAAGGCCTATATAAGGGCTATGTAAGGGAATATCCCCAGAAAATATGGCCTTATATGGTACAGTACCATTTTGTGTATCAGATATGTCCTTGAATGCCTTGTCTTCCTTCTTATCTTATCACCTATTGTAGCACTGCATCAGGAAAGTATCTTGGGCGCATGCGCCTGGACACATCCTGCCCACATATGTAGCTGCAACATAGCGCTGTAACATCACGTAACATCTATATTTGACATATTTATTGGGCTATATTTCATGTTTTCTTTTTTATGTTTTTAGACATTTTTGATATATCAACACGAATTTTATATCTATGATCTGATTCTTGCAAGTCTGCTTCTTAAATATATTCTACAACATTTGGTATTTTTTTACATAGCCTTTAGGATTTGCAGAAGTATGATTAATAGGGGAATAGATGGATTGAAATTTTGTTATTTGTTTTTACAGTATAGAGTATAGCCACAGTGTAGCATATTATCTTTTTATTTTTGATGAATACAACTTTTTGTAAGGTAGTTTTTATAATAATTACTGGTGGAATTCATGTTTACTAAATTTTCTGTAGCAATTTGAAACCTTTTAGCTTCTACCAAAGCTGAGCTTTGTGCAAGATTAGATGATATAGTTAGCGCATCTTGAGATTTTACATTTTGCAGATAATAAAAGTGTAAAAAAGTACACTAGATATGTATAAGACTGATCTCCAGTTATAATTGTTAGACATATTGATTTTATAATGCAATTACCTTTTTAATCCTCCTACAAATTCATAACATTCCATCAAGCTTTTCATAGTAAATTGACAATAATCAATCATATTCTCATTTGATGTTACTTGTCTTATTTGTTCTTGTGAATCTACGTTATTTCCATTAGCTTTTTCTTCAGTATCTACAATCTTTTGTGCAGAAGGGTTGATATTTTTTTGCAGTAATACTTCATTCAAAATCTGTGTAATGCAGATGATCTTGTAATTTCATTGCTTTAAATATCTTTAAATTAAGGAGTGCTTGAGTTAGATATTTTTTGTTACACAGAAATGATTTTGATATATTTTGATGATAATAAATTAATAAGTAAACAAAAACAACTAGATCAGTTTTTAATATATTTGTTATATTATAATTTGCCTTACTTTTTTATAGTTCTCAATTTTGTGATGTTTTTTTTAAGGTATTATAGGAGTTTCTAGCATTGGGTGAATATATATATATATATATAGTTATATATATATATATGTATTTTTCACTTCGAATGATTCTAGATTTTCACTGGTTCTTTTACCTCTATATTCTGAGGATCTAGTTTTAAGTTATTTTTTTTTTAAACAAATATATCTTGAATATGTTTTTTCAGATTGATTTGTTTGTATTTTTTAATGATAATATTCTACCATTTTGTGATGTGAACTTTGATAGCATTTCAGGGTTTTTATAGTCTATTACATATTTTCCTCAACATAAATTGCAACCATGTTTTTTTAAAAGAACATTTTCTTTGCCGATCTATTTGCAACCCTTTCTAATACATTTTGTTGGGAAGGTTTGGTTGATCTGTAGATAAAGAGGTATTACTATCGGATGAGCTCATGTATTTTTACTTATTATTGTTTATATTTTTTCTTCTTGTTCCTTAACAAAATTATTGTTTAAGATTGCAGAAGGTTCTTGTTCAATTTATTTTACTTTTATTATGATGAATCTAACTACCTTTATTGCAAGTTTTTTAATGTTTTTCGTTATTTTTGCCAAGAGTTGATTGATTTGCGTGGAAATCAAAAAAGTAATAGGCTTTACAGGCTTTAGAATTTTCTTTTACAGGATAAGTAAGTTTATTTGAGGAATGTCCTTTCTTGGGGGGATACCATATATACATATATATATACATATATATATGCAGTATATTTATATATATATATATACATGTTACATGCATATACATATGTTTTTTTATTTACAGTATGTTTTTTTCCCTCCTATCTTCTCCAGTAGTGTACCATCCGAGGAGCATTTTCGTTGAAAAAACTCCAGAAAATCCATGCGACGTCTTGGTGCGACCAGAAGTGGAAGCCAGCAGAAACTCGGCAGCTGGGAGATACAATGTGGGAAGCCCTGGCTGCCATAAACCTACCAAACCGGGACGGTTGGGACTGGTTTAGACCAGCTTGCTTCATGGGATCATGGCCTGTGGTCTATGAAGAGCTGCAGCTTCGCTGCAACTGAGCCAAACGGTCCTCTAGAAAATATCTAACATGTTGCACTGAGACCCCAGCCCCCTGACAGCTAAGGTTCTTTTCGGCAACTGTCATCACTCCTTTGAGGACCGCATCTATCACAAATTTCCCGTGTTGTCACAGCACCGGCTGGACAGAGATTTTCCCGAACCGGGAGGTGCCGCATACTTTTCAGCAGAAGCAATGTGGATCAATGCGCTGTTTGCCAGATTCTTCGCACCGTCGCTACCGTTCGACCCTTGTGTTCGGCACGCCGGAAGACAAATGGGCAACTTGGGTTTCGCCGCTTTTCCCTGCTTTCACTTATATATGCTCCACAGCACTGTGGAGAGAGTGCTGAACGGCCCCAACATTCGGGACCTGCGAGCCACTGATGCCAACATGTACATGTACTCGGCCCTGACTCTGCAGAGCTTCAATCGCGGGCACCCCATGGTCCCGCAGAGCAAGCCTTGTGAAGACTCTGTCACTGTTGCAGCTGGCGAACATCTCGGCTTGGTGTCCTGGACCCGTTTCAAACCTCATGAGAAGTTCCACCTGAGTGAGTACATGCGGGACTTTACGGAGCGGCTGGGGCACCAGTTGCAGACGTATGGGGTGATGGATGGCCGCAAGCTTGTTCGATACCAGTGTGTGGTGGTCCGGCAGCAGTGGGATGAGTTGAGGACACCTTTCTTTGAAGCCTTCCAGGTTCAGAAAGCAGCCTACCGCCGTGCAAATGGAGGAACAACAGCACCAAGCTTGGTAGAAGATGCTGCTCCACGTGTTGTTTTGCGTGATTTTAGTTGCTGTGCTCAGCCAGTGGGCATCAAAACCATCGTGCGCAAGACCTTCATTGAGCTTGATGAAGGTTCAGACCATTCTGCTGGCTGCCTCAAGCGAAGCAACTCGACAGGTGAAGTATTGGCCTACTGCGTGTAGTCAATCGGCAAGCCATGGCTGCAAATTTCCGTGCAATGTTCTTGAAATCGGTGTATATAGCATTGTATCGGAATTGTATCGCACAGAGTCTGCAAAGAGTTTGTTGTACAGTCGGGGGTGCAGGAGGTGGTTCCTAGATGTTTTAATTCCTAGATGTTCCTCATGCCTTGCACGCCCCGTTCAGAACATGGCAAGGTGCCAATGTTGGGTTTCGAATGGTTTCGATATGGACGCGTCAGGTGGACCCCAGTAGAATCAGAAGAAGTGCAACTTATGCTTAACTTTTGATTTATTGAATTGTGATTTGCGACCGAATGCAACCGATCAAATCCCACATTGGTATACATTGGTCCAGGGGCACAGGCTCCAGAGATTGCTGTGCAGATGTTGAATCCGTAGAGGCACAGCAATGGGACACTGGAGGTGGAGTGCAAATTCTATGAAATTCTTAGGTTGTTGCAAAATTCCAGGTCAAAAGTGCTTCAAGCACGATTCATACATCTTCATACCTCTGAGGTCTCTTTATATTCCATTAATTTTGTGATGAGCTGTGCTGTCCTCTATTTCTGCATTTGCCAGTGCTCAAGGAGGGGCCCGAATCGTGATCCAGGCTTCACTTCGGTCAGAGGCATGGCAGATGTAGCGCCGACAGACAACTATGGTGCGTGGCTGAAGTTTGCGCCGAGTTGCATGTCAGATGCCCAGTGGGAGGTGGCCGCTGAAACGCCCGAGGCTGTGCTTTCTCATCGCTCATGCCCTTGGGGTGGTCACCTCATCAAGATCGACTCAAAGATGCTTGGTACTGCATGGTTCTGCATAGTACTGCACAGAGATACAAAAACAGTTTCTCGATATGCCTTGATGTTGCAGGATCTTCTTTGTTCACAGTTGATTTTGTTGTGTTTTGAACATGTTTGAACTGGTTTGGGCATGCTTGATTCATGCCCGCGTTCAGCCGCCACTCCATTCTGAATACTGAACGTGCGCTTGATCTTTCCGGCAGCAGACTTCAAGTTATACAGATATAATATATTACTTAGTATTATTATTAGTATTATTATTTATAATAGTTTATATATATTTAGGTATATATTTCAAGCTACTTCCCCCCCCAGCTCAGGAGCATCTTCATCCAACAAGCTCCGGAAGATCCCACCAGCGTCATGGTACGCCCTGAAGTTCGGGCGATGGTGCCCCCGGGCCTGGGCAGGGCGTCTGGCTGCGAGGTGGATCTGCAGCACCTCGAAACCTATGCGCCCGGTGATGCCTTGATCCATCGCAGAAATTCCATGTGGATCCTGCGCTTAGGCGCTGCACCTCGGCCCAGTGTGAATAATTCCGCCGTTCAATGGGAACATATGGGAACTGAAAAAGCAAACTGATATCAATCCATATCAATCCATCAATGAACCATGACATCTCATGACTTGTGATTCTCACGTGCCCCGCCCCGAAGTTGCGAGCTCGCAGGCTCTACGGGCTCCGGACCCGAACACAATGGCAAAAAAGATGTCAGATAGAATGTTTGAATATTGATTAAAAGAATGCAAAACAGACTGCCAAATAAAATGCCAGAAAGAATGCCATGGACAGATTTTCAGAAAAAGTCAACACATATGTCAGCATTATATTATTATATAAATGCAAAATAATTATGCTGCTTGTATACGCAAATATATATAATATATTTAATATAATATATATTCGCCAGATAATATGCCAAATAGTCTGCCAAATAATAGTAGAATGCCAGATACACTGTTAGAGGCAATGCCAGATAGAATGCCAGATTCTAGATAGAATGTCAGATAAAACGTGAACATGTGTATACGTATGTCAGATGGCAATGGAGACTGGGATTAAAAAACAACATGTGTCAGATTCAATGCCAGATACTGTAGAATGCCAGATGAAATGTCAGATGAATGCCAGATGAATGCCAGAACAAATGTCATAATATACATGGGATAAAATGTCGGCATATAATCGCCAAATAAAATGCCACAATATTTTCCAGAATTTATTCCTGCAGATAGATTGTCAGTTGGTGGGGGTCCCTTGAAGAAAGTGATTTGAAAGCATGCCATCCTGGTCGCGATTCTCAGCCAAGGTCCTTTTCGGCAGCGGTCGTCACGCCTCTGAGGACCGCATCTATCACAAGTTCCCCGTGTCGTCGCAACACCGGCTTTACAAGGATTTCCCTGAGCCAGGAGATTGTAGCTACTTTGCATTGGAATCCGTGTGGATCCTGCGCCGTGTGCCAGGTTCGGTGAGTCACTATCGTTCGGTCTGTGTGTTCACTACACCCGAAGACACATGGGCAACTTGGGCTTTGCCCCTTTTCCCTGCTTTCACTCATATGCTCCACAACGCTCTGGATAGAATGCTTAATGGTCCCTCGATAAGGGACATGCGGGCCATTGATGCAAACATGTACCTGGTCCTCTCACTGCGAAGCTTCAATCGTGGACACCCAATGATTCCTGCCAATGACCCTGCTTCGGAGGAATCTTTCAACATTTCGGCAGGCGAACATCTCGGCTTGGTGTCTTGGACCCGTTTCAAGTCTGATGAGAAGTTCCACTTGAGCGGGTACATGCGGTGCTTCATGGAGCGGCTGGGGCACCAGTTGAAGACATACGAGGTGATGGATGGCCGCAAGCTCGTCAACTACCAGTGTGTTGTCGTGCGGCAGGAGTGGGAGCAGCTGAGAACATCTTTCTATCAGGCTTTCAAGGTGCAGAAAGCAGCCTACCGCCATGCCAACGGGGGAACTTCCACACCAAGCTTGGTAGCCGATGCTGCTCCACGCTTTGCTTTGCGCGAGTTCAGTTGCTGTGCCCAGCCACAGGGCATCAAAACTGTCGTGCGCAAGACCTTCATTGACCTTGATGAAGATTCAGACGATTCCGCTGACTGCCTAAAGCGAAGCAACTCCACCGGTGAAGTAATGACCTTGTACTTTGTATAGGGAGTTGCACTTTGTTGCAGCATGTTGCAATGGAATAATTTGATACCTCGCAGACTTGTAAAGCGATGTAAAGGGTAGTTCTGCGAAACACATCTTTTTTTGGTACAGTCAGGGTGCGGGAGTTGGTTTCATACTTTCTTAAAGCCACCGCTCGTGAGAACACCCCTGGGCCCTGTCCTGCCAGAATGTGGCGCTGTGTCGGGAAATTTTGATGTGTTGGATCAGGGATCGGCACTGTGAGGTATGAAATGCCGCCGACTTGGAAACACATGATCACATGTGCCCCCATATGTAGATGATTTTCCCATTGAAATAGATGTTGAAATGCCAATTTGTAGTGGGTTTCCCCGCCAGCCATGTTTGATTGCCAGAGGGCGAGAAGTTGATTTCCTACCTCAGAGTTGATCATTGTGATCCTCTTCCCAATCTTCGCAGCGGCATGTTGGCCAAGTACAGCAAGAGTATTCGGCTCCATCTGGGATGCGAGCAGACACTCCAGCTCCAGAAATTCCAACAGAAAGCCTTTGGAGAATAGCGCAGACAGGGGTCGATGGGGTGGGTGGTTCGTGGATGTTCGTGTTGGATCTTGGTCCATCTTGGTCCATTGTTCTTGTCCCATAGAGATTTTCCAAAGGAGACCACAAAAGTATACAAAAGTCATGTTCACCGGCCTCAGGTCGCAGGATCAGCTACAGCTAGATGGCGGCTATCTCGGAGGCCAGATGGAATGGAAACTGAATCATGGTTCACTATTGTCATGCATGCATGGATCTATTCCTGGGACCCATATGGACTATAAATGACTATAACATCTATAACATTGGGGAAGGGATTTGTATTGTTTCCCATTGTTGGCTGATTTCAGCCAACAACTGGTGGATTTGGTGTGAGTTAGCAATGTACTTCCAACGGCTGGCATCGCTCAATCTGCATGCCTTAAGATGTTTTAGTTTAGAGGTGACATTTCAGATCGAAGCGATGCTGCACTTGAAAGTTTGTAAATTGAGATTATCGCATATTCTAGCCAGATCTTCGCACACTCCACATCTTCGACAGCATTTTTGGTTCCCATTTTTTTTCAGAACAATCTCCAGCCATTTCTCCCTGGCGCCATGCGCTCCGCATGGACCCGGAGCCCGAGAGCGTGGCGCCCGAGACCGTGACGGCCTTCCAGCGCTGGGCTCGGTGCTTCTGCGTTTGTGTCTTTGATTTGGAGCAAGGACAGCGGCTGCTGAGCACTGCTGAGGGCAAGATTTTTTGTTGTCTGCATGGGTTTAATCAATATGATGGTTTAATGTGTTTAATTATGAATGTTTTTTAAATATGTCCAATATTTTTAACATATATTATATATACCTAGCACCACATTTCGGGCTAAAATAAAAGCCTTTTCCTAAAAGGATCCTTTTAGATCCTCGGGCTGAAAATTAGACCTCGGGCGGATTTTGCCATTCAGTCAGATTTTGCCACTATAACCAGGGCAGGCTCAAGGATTATTCCCATTGTTTTTTGATTTTGAAAGACGATAGTCGGGCGGATTTACCCACTATTCGGGCGGATTCTCCCACTATTCAGGCGGATTTTCCCAAACTGCATGCTTTTGATGTTTCTTGAATGAAGCTGCCTCGTAGTTAAAACACCATACTCAAAAAGGCTTCAGGCGGATTTTTGGGACTCCGGCGGATTTTAAGAACTCGGGCAGAAAAACGCCCTTTTTGAGCTTGGGCTGAAATTTAAGTCTGAGGAGGCCCTAAGGATAAAATATTGAGACTCTCCACTTGTGAAATTTCATATAATAGAACATATAGAACCATGGCATCTACTGGGCAAACGTGCATTGTAGTGAAATCGAATTATTTGCCTTTGAAGTCTATTTTATGTCCATGACATTCTATTTTTGGGGCATTGTTTTTTCGGGCAGTTGGATCGGGCTACGGCTAAGCTCTAGGCTAGAGCTGGAGTTTCCAGCTGACAGCTTAGCTGATGAAGATCGACAGCTGCTTCGCTACTTGGCCTTTCCGGATTTCGGCCCCAGCCGCTCCGCTGTGGAAAGCGCCGTGTTTCCGCTGCGCTTCCGGCGCGGCAGCGGCGCCTCGCGGGGCGTGTCGAGGACAGGCCGCAGTCCCTGTGGACCAGGACCCAAACGAGAAGATGGGTTCTACTATGCAGCCTCATCCTTTCAACAGCTGCTTGGTGGATTCAAGATGATTCATTTTTGTTTATATAATTTCCTGATTTATTGTTTGATTTGTGTGCCATCCCAGAAAAAGGTATCATCATCAGACTCGTTTTTTTGTTTTTTCTAGAATCCGTCGAAACTACCGCCCAGGCAACCTGATGAGGCCAGCAAACGAAAATGCAGTCAACGCAGCCTGGTGGTGGTGTCGCAGCACAGTTTCTTGTCCTTATGGGCAACACTAGTGATGCGACTAGGTCAATTACAGCATTTGCCTTTTCGCGAGCTCCTGCAGAAAGCTGTGCAAGCCATGGCAGAATGGCCAAATCCACTAAGTCCAAGCTCCACCAAGATGATGACACTGCCTTTGCTTGGCGGCATCCTGGACTTCTGCCCTCCTGGTGCCACTCAGTTTGGTACAGCCAATGGAAACTTGCTCACAGCTTCATCTCCGGTGGATGAACCCGGTTGGTCGTGTACTACCGCCTGGTCCACTGGGTCACGCAGCAAGCAGCAGCAGCAGCAGCGCGCCCGCGCAGGCGCTGCGGCGGCATGGGCCTCGCTTGCCGCGGAGGAATTGGATTTTGTGGCTGACCAGCTGGGGTTGACTACCATACCACCAGGGCCTTCAGGGCAATGCCAGCCATATTCCGCCTTTGCTCCACTCAGCAGCTGCTTGTGGCCACTGTGGGAGGTGGCATTATGTGGTGAGCCTTTGGTCATATTCTCTCCAGATTATCCCACCAGGGTGGCGGGGGCTGTATTGGCAGTGACTTCTCTGATTTCGCCGGTGGAATATATGGGGGATTACCGACCCTACTTCACCATCTATGATGGTGATTTCGAATACTATCGCAATTGCGTTCAAAGCAACGCAATCAGCAGTCAGGCTGCCATTTTCGGGGTCACCAATCCAATGATCATGCAACTCTGGGCCCGTTTCCCCACTGGCCTGCTTCTCCGCCCGCTGCATGGCGGTACGCTTCCACTGCCTGAGGCGCATCACCAAGTTCTACTGGAAAGTCCCCAGGGGGAACGGCTGCAACGACTTCGGAGGGAGCCGCTGCCCAAAGTGAAAGGTACCAAACCCTGGGGAAGTATCATAGATGATCAGCATGATGAGCGTCTCATCATGCAGCCGGATGAACAGTTCCTGGCTCTTTTGGAAACACCCTGTGATGAGGACAAGGATCAGATGGCCAGGCGCTATTTCTATGAGCTCACCTTGGCGTTTCTGCGCCCCTTCCTGCCACATTTGAAGCTGTTGAAGGGACCAGAAGCCTTCAACGAAGAATCCTTTTTGGCATCCCTGCAGCCAGTGGGTCCTTTTTCGCAGTTGCCTCGGGCGGACTGCCAATTGCTATATGACCGCTTCATCAACGGCATCAACTTTCAGCCTTGGTTAACGAAGGAATTGGCCAAGCAGCACCTGAATGACAAAGACTCAGCAGGTGCAGTTTCACCCAGCGACGAAAGTGCGAGTTGCAGTGGGGTCGCTGATGAAAAGACTGTTTGCAAGGACTGGTTTTCCCAACACCAGGGCTTCGCCTGGTAACTCAATCCCTAGTGGGGCTAGATGCCAGGAATACCCTGATGGAATAACTCAGTCATTCTGGGCTCATAGGGGTCCCCAAAATGATGCAACAATGATCTTTCCCAAGTGGCAAATGGATGCACCAATCCCGATTGATTGTGAATCTCACAACTATATTAACATTTAACTAAATATATATATATATATACATGTTATACATATATTATATATATAACTATAGATGGATACTATATGGTACTAGAATGTACTAGAGCCCAGTTACGATTCAAGGGATGCACATCCGCAGATTCTAGGACCGTCTTGGGCAGCTCTGTGACAGCCGAACTGGAGGAGTTGCGTCCGTAGCTGAGTCTGGGCAGATCAGGAATTATGGGTGTCATATAGTGGTTACATATGATTATATAATGTATATAATAATAATTAATAATATGTTACTAGTAATATGGGAAGAAACCATGAGTTTTCTTCAAATGAGTTTTACATGGTTTTGAATTGCCGAATTTTCTTATAAGAATAGTTGGCAAGTTGTTCAAAAGGAGCTACTTTTCATGGTTCCCGGGTCTTTTGATGATTCTTCAATTACGTACATTTTTGTTTCCAGGCGCGCTATTTCAACCGCTTCTATTTGCTTCTCCTGTTTAGGTGACGTCATGTTGGACCACTTTGAGGTTCAAGCTCGGGCATGGACCGATCTTGAACATGGTGTATTATCCGTTAGCCTCAGCCTCAATTTTTACACTATACAGATATATGATATATGATATATTATATATGATAAAACTACATCGAATTACAGCATACGTCAGATATCATAGCGTAATTATTCTATATACATATTATGGCAATAGAGATATCATAGTGTACTGATATATACTATTGTATGCTCATATATCATGGCTAATATATATGCCACTAGTATTACCAGTAGTACCCGCACGAGGCGGGGCGGAAGTTGCCTTAAGGATATATAAGAACTTTCTCATCTATAGAACTTGCATGCGCCGTGCGCCAGCCAAGCCCGTGTGTGCGTGCACTCTGCGAAAGTGGTGTCTTGTTTCACATGTCACATTTGAAGCTCCACTTCGCACTTCACACTTCTCACTGCGGTCTTCACACTCCACACTACACACTTCACACTCCACACTTCACACTTCACACTGCACGCTTCGCACTCCACACTTCACTTCACACTGCACTCTTAAGACTCCACACCTCTCACTTCTCACTGCTTTCTTCACACTCTACACTTCACACTTCACACTTCACAGTCCACACTTCACACTTCTCACTTCTCACTGCTTCCTTCACACTCCACACTTCACACTTCACACTCCACACTTCACACTGCACTCTTCACGCCCCACACTTCACACTGCACTCTTCACACTCCACACTTCATCTCATCTGAGCTCTTCTCACCTTATCCCAGCTCATCTCTTCTCATCTCTTCTCATATGTCATCTACGCTTTCATGAACCACTTCCCAGTACTACTACTAAGGAACTTGCATGCGCCGGGCGCCAGCCAGGCCCATGCGTGCGTGCTTTGTGCGAAGCTGTTGCAGTGCTGCTGTCCAAGAACATGACCCGCGCGCGATCCCGGTGCAATGCAACGTGAAGCAAACACTGTCCTCACACTTCACATTGCACTCTTCACACCCCACACTCCACACTGCACACTTGCACTTCATCTCAACTCATCTCATCTGAGATCTTCTCATCTCATTTCATGTCTTCCCATATATCAGATACCCTCCAGTAAATTAACATAGACCCTGCCAGATAGGGGTTGGAAGACTAGTTTCCACTATAGATTGGTCATTTTCAGGGTCTATGTTAATTTACCAGAGGGTAAGTTCTTCTTGGCTATTTTCATGTCATCCGAGCGCAGCTCAAACTTTCTCATCTCACCGGAGCTAGTCTCAACTCATCTCGGTTTTTCTGCACGTCAGAAAGCTTGAGACACAGATGCACTTTACACAGCTTGCACAGAGTACTCCCCAGTAGTACTTGAAGAAACACTTTTCACCTCATCTCACCTCTTCGTAACTCATCTCAATTCTTCTGTATGCCAAAAAAATTGCTAACAAACAGAATCTTCTGCGCACACACTTTCTATATTGTACACCCCGGTTAGGTGAAGCTTGTGGTATACTGTACACCTGAGCCACCTTTCGTCAAGACAACTTATTGTAAACATGGTGTAGTTGTTATCTGTCAATCAGACTCACGCGGTCCAAGGTCAACAGCTGCATTGTTTTTCCGCGCTGCACTTGGTCTAGGTTTTGGCAGCTCTTTCGGCCCGCACTGGCACGAAAGGCTGGAAAGCTTAATCCGCAAACACTTGTTGGCAGCCTGGTTGCCCGTCATGGCACTTCACGAAGCAAATCAGGCAAGAAGTTCTCACTATCCGCAATGACATTGCGGACCCAAGCTGCATCTGCTTGCGACAAACGACATTCTGCACCTGCTCGGTAAGCCGCAGCGTGCACACCGTCATCAGTCAGGGCAACGCAGCGCTGTTCTGCCAAGGTATCGTCCTGTTCCGTGCAAACAGTTGTCAAGGCTTCAAAACAAAGAGCGCAGGGTCCATATTTGAAGTAACCCAAGCCGATATTCCTGCGCTCCTCGGTTGGGATACTTCGTCTGCACGCGAAGCACCGTGAATTTTGCAACGCATCGTAGACATGCAATGCAATCTTCAAACTGTGCTTGAGAGCTGCCATTTCTTCGAAGCCAATGTCAATCATCAAGTTTTGCGGCTCCAAATTTCCCTCCTCTTCGACTTTGCGTTGCAGCAAGTTTCTAAGGCTAGCGCTCTGCAGCACAACAGCATTCGTAGCTGTCGAACCAGCGCTCACGTTGCTGAGCGCATGAAGATCCAGCAATTCGAAATCGATTGCCAACCGCAAGAAGTCGCAAGGTCTGATAGCACTTCCCAGTACTACTTTGAACTACAAAGCTTGCACAAAGCACTTCCCAGTACTACTGTGTACTACAAAGCTTGCAAAAAGTACTTCCCAGTACTTTGTACTACCAAGCTTGGACAAAGCACATTCCAGTACTACTTTGTACTACAAAAAGCTTGCACAAACCACTTCCCAGCACTACTTTGTACTACACAAAGCTTGCACCCAGTACTACTTTGTACTACAAAGCTTGCACAAACTACTTCCTAGTATATATTACTTTGTACTACGAAGCTTGCGCGAAGCACTTCCCAGTACTACTTTGTGACACAAAGCTTGTACAAAGAAAGCTTTTACACACAGCAAGTTCTTTGACAGTTGAAGCTTTTACACACAGCAAGCTTTTTAAACAGGGAAGCTTTTACACACAGAAGCTTTTACACAGAGAAGCTTTTACTCACAGCAAGCTTTCACACACAGCAAGCGTTTACACACAGAACACTTACACACAGAGAAGCTTTTACACACAGCAAGCTTTTACACAAAATCTTTTACACACAGCAAGCTTTTACAGAAAGAAGTTTTTACACAGAGAAGCTTTCTTGTACATAATCACAACAAAAATCGCAGCTCCAAAACCGGATCTCGACGCCAAAGCGAAAAAAGACGATTTTGAAGCGCTTTTCCAATGATTTTTTATAAGGAAAATTACTAGCGCCAAAATTGAGAAAATCTGCTGACAAATCACTGTCGCTGTCGCAGCCTTGATGCAGCCACTCCAATACGATTTACGATGTCCAGCTGCAAAAGAGAATAGTATTACGCATGCAGCCGCGGTGCCAAGCAACCTTGACACAGCCATTACATTGCGTTTTGCAGCATCACGTCGCAAACCTGCACATATCTACGCACATGGCAACACCAGATGACAACAATCATGCAGCCATTCCAATGCGATCTGCAGCCACAGATTCCAAAACACCCGATAACTACGCACGCACAAGCACACCCAAAGCAGCTTGAAGCCACCCTTACAATGCGGCCAAAAAAAAAGGCAAACCGACCGCAGCCGCAACCGCCGCACACAGGAGGTACCTTTCACCATCGGCTGCAGCCACTTGACACGGAAAAACACAAGGTTTCGTGCTCCAGCTTCCTGCCCAACACAAACCCCATGCAACATTCATGCAGCCATTACAATGCGTTTTGCAGCATCACATCGCAAACCTGCACGTATCTACGCACATATGGCAACCGCCGATGACAACAATCATGCGGCCATTCCAATGCGATCTGCAACCACAGATTCCAAAACACCCGATAACTACGCACGCGCAAGCACACCCAAAGCAGCTTGAAGCCACCCTTACAATGCGGCAAACAAAAAGGCAAACCGACCGCAGCCGCAACCGCCGCACACAGGAGGTACCTTTCATCGTCGGCTGCAGCCACTTGACACGGAAAAACACAAGGTTTCGTGCTCCGGCTTCCTGCCCAACACAAACCCCATGCAACATTCATGCAGCCATTACAGTGCGTTTTGCAGCATCACGTCGCAAACCTGCACGTATCTACGCACATGGCAACACCAGATGACAACAATCATGCGGCCATTCCAATGCGATCTGCAGCCACAGATTCCAAAACACCCTGTAACTACGTACGCGCAAGCACACCCAAAGCAGCTTGAAGCCACCCTTACGATGCGGCAAAAAAAAAGGCAAACCGACCGCAGCCGCAACCGCCGCACACAGGAGGTACCTTTCATCGTCGGCTGCAGCCACTTGACACGGAAAAACACAAGGTTTCGTGCTCCGGCTTCCTCCCCAACACAAGCCCCATGCAACGTTCATGCAGGTCAATTCTTTTGTGATGTATTGTTATGTAGTGTAAAGTCACACACCGCCCTTCATCAAGGTCAATTTTTTTGTGATGTATTGCTATGTAGTGTAAAGTCTCACACCGCCCTTCAGCAAGATCATTTCTTTTGTGATGTATTGTTATTTGATGTAAAGTCTCACACCGCCCTTCATCAAGGTCAATTCTTTTGTGAGGTATTGTTATGTGATGTAGCCACTCACACCACCCTTCATCAAGGTTAAGCCTCACAATTCTAAATGACCACACAAGGCGGTGGCGGAAGTTTCAAAGACAGGAAACCGATAGGAGAGGTTGGTTGTTGTGAATGACGGATGGCAGAGCAAATCCACGAATGGACCGAAGGTGGTTGGAGTTGTGTTTTTTGGAGTGGTTGCCATGGTTGCAGTGGTCACCTCACCCACAACTGCTGGATGCAGTGTGGTGTGGCGCAGCTGTAGTTGTAGTTGTAATGTAGTGGAGTTGTAGTTGTAGTGTAGTGTAATTAGTGTGGTGCAGTTGCAGTTGTAGTGGTGGTGTGGTGTAATGAATGTAGCGCAATGTAATGTAGTGTAGTGTGCTGTAGTGTTGCGTGCTGTAGTGTAGTCTAGTCTAGATAGTCTAGTCTAGCCTAGTGTATTGTAGTGTGGTGTGGTGTGGTGCAGTGTGGTGTAGTGGAGTGTAGCGTAGTGTAATGTAGTGTAGTTGTCGTTGTCGTTGTAGTTGTAGTTAGTGTAGTGTAGTGTAATGTAGTTAGTGTGGTGCAATGCAATTAGTGTAGTGTAGTGTAATGTAGTGTAGTTGTAGTTGTAGTTGCTGTTGTAGTTGCAGTTGTGGTTGTAGTTGTGGTGTAGTGTAATTGAGTGTAGTGTAGTGAAGTGGAGTGCAGTGAAGCGTAGTGTAGTGTAATTAGTGTAGTGTAGCGTAGTGTAATGTAGTGTAGTTGCAGTTGCAGTTGTAGTTGCAATTGTGGTTGTAGTTCGTGCAGTGTGGTGGGGTGGAGTGGAGTGGAGTGTAGTGTCGCGTAGTGATGTGTAGTGTAGTGTAATGTAATTAGTGTAGTGTAGTGTAGTGTGGTGTAGTGTAGTGTAGTGTAGTTGTAGTTGTAGTTGTAGTTGTAGTGTAGTGTAGTGTGATGTAGTGTAGTTGTAGTTGTAGTTGTAGGTTTAGGTGTAGTGTAGTATAGTTGTGGTTGTAGTTGAAATTGTTACAAAACCCTCACTTGTTTTTACTCACTTTGGCAAGGTGTAGAATGAATACCTTGCGCCTGCCACGCGAACACATCTGAACCTTCAAAAGTGGTCCGAGCATGTAGTGTGTTTAACATTTTGACTTGGAAAGCTGCTTCGCGCCATTTTTTCGACGTGTCAACTTCCAAAAGTGCTAATGTGCTTCGTGCCAGAAGGGCGTACACTTTTTCGACATGTCAACTTCCAAAAGTGGTCCGAACGTGGTGTGTTTTCTACATTTTGACCTGGACATGTGCTTAGCACTTTTTCGACATTTTGACTTGGAAATGTGCTTCGCGCCACAACGGCGTGCAACTTTTCATCTCTCATCTGGCTAAATAACTCCGCACCCGCCGCTTTAGCGAGCCTACTTTTTGACCCTCCGGAGCCACAAATCATTGGAAAAAAACCGTGAATCGCGACTCTTCTACCTTTTCGCGCGCCTGCATCTTCTTTCTTCTCACTCTTTCTCTTCTCTGATCTTCTCTCTTCGGCTCTTCTCCTCTTTGACTCTTCCCACCTCTGCTTTTCCATCTGTCCATCTTGTCGGAAGTTTGACTTCGAAACTTCCTTCGATTTTCCATATACCAGTAATATATATATATATATACACATATATCAGTAATATATATATATATACATCTATTCCAGTATATATATATATATAAATATATTTATATATATATATGTATGTGTGTGTTTGTGTGTGTATAATATAAACGCTACTAGCCCGCTGCGCGGTTCAGGCCGCTGGAGGCCAGGAGCTTCCCATGGCGACGCTCTATGCGGAGGCCGTCGGATCGATTGTCCGACTCAATGGTTTACATAGCCCATTTCCAGACACACCCATATGGTGAAATGATCATCATATACAGTAGTTATATGAAGACAAGATAGGTAGAGATAGAGAGAGAGATATTACATACATATATAATATATATATATATAATATTTGTGTGTGTGTGCGTATATGTATATAGTGTCAGGAATTTTTCAAAAGTGAAATTATATGCAATATTATGCACCTTGTGATGTTGATGCGACTGGTACTGCGCTGGTACTGTACTGGTGGTGCTTCGTACAAAGCCATTATCAATCCTTATTGGGGCTATCCCGTCCCCCAGTAAACTGTAACCCTTGATATGGAATCCATGGTTCTTTCCCGTTTGGAACATGATTTACACATGGTGATTTTTCGATATGTCAGTTTCCTGGATGATATTGAGATCATTTCCACATTTTGGGGGGTGAAGATCCACCTGCCAGTGCTGGAAGGTTCAGTCCCTGCAGTTGAGATCCAAGGTGCCAAAGCCCCTCGGCCTGGGAAGACCGTTTGTTGCTGGTTAACACCGCAGTGGAGGTATCGCCTTTGGACCTTTGGGGTAGGGGAAGCTCTTGTTATTCCCATGATTAGATGAGGTTTGCGGGGCCCCACCCACCAGTCTTTGCTGGAATATCATTATCGTGGTTTTCCGCAATCTACGCATTGTTGCCAAGAAGATCCAAGACGATTTTGGCCTCCACATGTTTTAGAGATTTTGAGACTTAATATTTTTCTCAACCCCTATGTCGGCATGGCTGAAAAGTGTTTGTAATTGCAGTGCCAATACGACTGGGAAAAATTGGAGAAATTTGCAAACAAAAAATGACACACATCAGAATACTACCCACCTACCCTGAAACTGCTTGCGAATAGCCTGAGGTTCTGGGGGAAATTTTCCTCTCAGCTGGGCCAAGATCGTGAAGCTGGCACCCTGGAAGCATGGAAATCTACGTGGGGTTCAGCCATGACGGGTTAAATCATTGGAGGATAACCATCCATATTTTCCAAAAAATCCAATGGTTATCATCCAATGATAGGATTTTTGAGGTGATTTCGTTGTCCATTCATATTTTCCTATCTTGCCATCCTGAGATGATGATCCCGACCTTCATATTTGCAGCTAGGAAATATACTGATAAGTGATGTAACATGATAGAACCCCTTAGCTACTGGGATATTAGTGGATGAAGACCTGAGGTACCACCCTTTGGTAATCCAGCATGGCAAGCAAAGTTCTTCATTTTCAGATGAATTTCTGGATCATCCAAGAAATAGGCATTTTGACATTGCCACGGGAGATTCCCAGAAAGTACCCGCCATATATTTGCAAACCAAGGCTAGGGTACTGTATAACCATCGGGTTATATCACCCACATCATTACATCACGTGTTACTCCGATCCATTACAAGAATCAGTGGATATCGCCATTATCTTAAGTTCTAGCTCGATATGCACCATGTCACCATGTGTGGCTCCAATATTCGGACAGAGAGAATCCACCATGTGTGTGGACCCCATGCCCCCATCCAAGTCATCCAAGAGTTCCCAGGTGAATGTATCAACCTCTCGGAGCTCACGGTTTTTCTCCTCCTTTGGCTCCGTGCCTTGGAGAAGGGACTGGTCGGCCTAGCGACGAATGAACCAATGGTTTAAGGGGATGATGTTTACCTTCCATTTATTACTGGGAAGAACATCATTGAATGGAATGAACAACATCATTGTGATTTGCTAGTGATAGTGATGATATGTGATGATGTTTGAAATATTGGGGGTGGTTTATGGCATTTGTTTATGGCATTGGTTTATGGCATTGGTTTATGGCATATGGTGATTAAGAGAAACGCTGGTGGATTAACTGGTGGGATTCCACCCAAATAGCGGGGTGAATCCAGTCTTGCTCCAAGAGAAGATCGTTCCAGGGGTGATGTGCCACAAAACACCCGAGCAATTGACAATATGTTCATAACATTTCATAACCAACTATTAGGGAATGAACATCTAGTAGTTACAGTGACAATACAGTGATACATCTTAAACAGGATTTAAATACCCACGATGCTGAAGTATGAGAGGTAAAAGCAAATAGGAAACATGTGCATTAGCCTATAGGTTACATGCTCGTCAAATGTGTTCCCAATGATTGCATGACCATGCTATGTGTTCGATGGAAAATCCTACAGCACATCCCCATCCAATTTGGCTAGTTTTTGATGGCACGACCATGCTTTCATGTAGAATTCTCAAACCAACATAAGTCAATAATTGTGATGCCGCTTTGCCTGTTCACAAACCCAGTGCAACCCGAAGTCGTAGACGTCTATAAATCATTATAAATCTAAGTACTCCACGTTCTAACCCCTCATAAGTCATAACGGTCATAATCCCAATTACATGTCGAAGTCTCCACTTTCAAACATTTTTCAACAATTAACCCCCTTGTTTCAAAGGTTATTTTATTGCCAACATCCAATGCACATGCAGCAACGTCAAATCCAAAGAATTTCCCCTCATGTATTCGAGGCGTCCTAATTCTACCCTGTTCTGACTCCTTAATTTGCATAATTAATGTGGCGAACCCAATGCCATAATCCTCCAATTGTGGTGAATTCGCTATTCACCATAGTGTCACCTATTTCTGGTACACTTCTGGGATAAAGATCTGCCTATTTTGTGATTTTCCAACAGACCTGGATGAATTATAGCGACCTGACCTCACGTACCGTCGCGACGTCGCTGGATGGCTAGGATTGGGTTTTAAATGTTTTAAAGCTCCCAAAGTAGCGGAGCGTTTATGGATGGCACCATCATCATTTAATTTATACTAGTTTGGTGGTGATATGTGGTGATGTTCCATTCTTATCATTCGTGATTCTCATGTTCAACTGAATGTCATTTCAGCATATGAACCCTTCAAGTCTATTAGAATCCATTGGAATCCATGAAATTAAAAATCCATTTATCAAAACACATGTCTCACTTGAAAATCCATTAGCATCCATTAATCATCACCCTTCAAAAAAACATCCAGAGGGTACCCCCTGAAAATTTTGCAAACAAAAACCAGGCGAGGCCGCAGCCTGTGACCTTGCAGCAGGCTCCGGGTCGGGGATCCCCAATAGCTGGATGGTTTCTTTCATGGAAAATGCCAAAATGAAATGGATTATGACTGGGGGTAGCCCCATTTAACCTCCATATGGATTATAAACCAGGGATCCTAAGTGGGATGCACATCCAACTCAGGAAGCAAACTCTTTCCAGGACAATTCAATAGTGAATCCAACTTCTTTTTTTCCAGGAAAATGAGTGACTGAACAGCTGATTTGATCAACAAAGACAGGTGATTTATAAGCACTGAATAAGGGATATAACGGGTGATTTGTAGCCTAGAAAGTTCGGCCAAAGCAAGAACATTATATAATGGGATATGGTTGATAATTACAGTAGTACTTGGGTGAATCCATTGGTGGGTTAACCAACTGTTTGATCGGGAAATGATGGGATGGATTAATCCGACAGTCCGACAGTCCGTGCGCAATTTAAGTGACCAAATATTGGTTGGATTAATGTCGATGCAATCCCAGGCGGAAAGGCTTCACCAGATGGGAATTTATTCTAGATACAGAACTGCTACAACTGGGAACGATGATAGGTGTTTGACCAGCCGAACATAATCCTTCATGGGCTTTCAATCAATGAACATATATATATATATATTATATTCTGATGATGTTTGAGCTTCTCACTCTAGAACCTCGATTTTCCCAGTTCCGGAAACAGGGACCCGGGCGCCCCATCGTTCCGAAATCGCAGCCATGGCTCAAAGTAGGCAGTGGTCAGAGCGGTAAACCCGCAGCCAAGGCAAATGGGTGAAGCGAAACTAGGTAATTCATGATTCAGTATAACTTAACTACGTATAAATTGCATCCAGACTGCAATACCTATTCATTGGAGAGCAAGGAGCTACTAGTACGTAAGAGTTTCCCAACCACAGGATAGATAACCCGGTGCTGTGTGAACGCATTTATATCAATTTGTTCTATGATATTGTATGCTGAGGTGTGCTGTAACTGATTTTTAGTTGACCATGCAACTGAGAACGTCCAGCTTGTCTCCAGTCTTGAATCAGCAGGTTACAGGCTGTTGGTTCGCCCCAAAGATCCCAAAGTACTCGAAACTTTGACCTCCTTACCAACCCTTTCCAGGCCCCTTCAAAGGGGTAATCATGTTGCTTCTGATCACCCCTTCCTTTGACCCTCCAATGCTGACATGGCCACCGATTGTCCATCATTTTAAGAGGGATGATATCCATAAAGCATCTACCACATTCCACAACGTGCTCAATAGATGTTGGATTTGCATCATCCTTTGCTTGGAGGTGACATGGTGGACGTCATTCCCAAGAGCGACGACAACTGTCGGCATTGCGAAATCTAGGATACCATATGATACCATATGATACCATGAATCAGAATGGTTTCTGTACACAACCTACAGAGAATCATGTGGAACTGCCAACGATATCCGGCCAGACCTTCACCGAAGCCTCCCGTACGTTGGGTCCTTCTCCTAGGTCCGGGTCGACTTGGGTGAAGCGTTGCATCTGGCCATCAAGGACAGTCACCTTGGAGACAGCCCTATGATGCAAACTTCATTGGTAGCTTACACGTCCCATTTTTTTTCTGGAGCCCGCAGCCCCAAACATGGACTTTGGATGAGTGTGGAAGAGTTTAATTCTGTGATTTTCCTCTTGGATGATATGGCCATTTTCAATCCCATGTCATATGTGGGGACTGGCCGCGCGAGGATGACCGGAAGTCGGATCTGGATCGCTTGCTGGAGAAGGGGGCGGATCCATCGCAGCTTGTCGTTGCGGTTTGAGTCCATCGTCATGCCTTGGATCCCATCAACTATCGTTGTCATTACTCAATAAACCAATAAACAAACAACAAATTATTTATTGTACTAATATATATATATGTATGTATGTGTATTCATATGTAGATTATGACTGATTATGATAATTATCATAAATCTTCATTATCACAGAAGTTGTGGGTGTCGTTAGTTCTCAAACTTTCCCAGGTATCGTGGCAAGCGCGGCCAGACCGCCTTGCACGAAGCCGCATGGTACGGGAGGCACGGGGAATTGGTGGCTTAGTAGTTGTCATAATAAATTAGTGATTTGCTATCACTTTTGATGATGATGATGATGATGATCATGATGATCATGATGGTGATGATGATGATGATGATGACGACGTCGATGACGATGACGACGTCGATGACGATGATGATTATGATTACGATTCATCATGATGATGCTGCTGATCCAACGGCCATTGATAGCTACCACTTACTTCAACCGATGCCCGGCTCAGGGCCTACTGCATCAAGGAGTTGCTTCGGGTCATGCCGGAGGTGATGGCTGAGAAGGATCGTGCAGGCGGGAACCGGTAGGAATATGTTTTTCCGCTGATAACTCAGGGAGCTGTGCATAGAGAATATGTGTACGTTGAAATAAGGATATATATAAATATATATATATATAGTTTTATAGGATTATACAGAACTGTATAGACATATGATGATATATGATGATATATTTATATGCAGATTGAGTAGGTCAACTTGGGACTTCCGAGGTCAGACAGCCATCCACTGCGCTGCTGCGGAAGGACGGGGCCCGGGGCAAACTCGAACTATTGTGGTTTAATGTGGTTTAATGTGGTTTAATCGGGTTTCATGGGATTTCATGGGATTCATTAGGGTTTAATGGGGTTTAATGGGATTTATAAACTACGTAACTTAATTAGACATGGAGGGGCTACTGCATGCTTGGTGGTTTCAACTATTTTTTATGACCATATTTGGGATGATGATCTGACATAGGGGTTATCATCTCAAGATTAGTCGTTTCCTGGAAAAAACAACTCAGACCAACTCTGAGAGTTTGTCTGCCGACACATCGAATTCCTCATCTTGTATCCTTTGTTGAGGATTGTTGGTTCTCAGTCTTGTTGTGTTTTTGCCGATTTGATATGTTTGCCTTCCAGCTCCCATATCCTTTCAAACCGCTGAGTATCCAGGGCCGCCTTACTGCCTTTGCAAGAATTGTGATTCATTCGGACAAAAAAAAACAATGATCATGTAGGAATGCAATTCAACCGATGCCATTGACATTGACCAACTACAGAACTTTGGAAGGCTGCCACAACATGGAAGGACTTGTCCACTTAGCTTACACTGACAGGTTTTGGTTGGAACAATTTTGGCATGTCTCCCAAGTCATTGTTTATCATTGGTTCATTTTGACCAGCGATGTCATCCTTGGCAGGACATCACGCCTCCCTTGAGGAATTGCTGGGAATGCGGCAGACGCCAAGAGAGGCTGCTCCGGCAGAACACCAAGGGAGGGTGAGATGGGCAATTGACCATCCTTTCCCATGTCAACCGTTGTTGACCATTAATATTCCATTAATTATTTAAATTTAAATTTATTTAACCATTCCTAACCATTCCCAACCATTATTAACCACTATTGGCCATTTTCCCCATGACTATGACAATCCTTTCTCTTTTGTCCAGGTCCCACTGGAGCTCCTGAGCGCCAAGAGCTACAAGATCGGCTGGACGGCCCTGCACTATGCAGCTCACAATGGCCATGTGCCTTGGTACCGTTGAAGAAATGGCCATGAAATGGCCACGGAATGGCCGAGTTGTTGGAGTGGGAATCATTCCAGAAAGATGTCGACTGATGTGGTTGGCAAGCGTGCCAAAGATATGTTTGATAGCATTTACACTTAAAACATGTCAGATATCGTTGGAAAACATCATGGTTACAATCTTTCCAACTGGAATAATTAGCCAGCCGGAATGCCGCTAGGCCGAGTGCTGCCGCCTACTGATGTCGGCTGCAAGCCAAGCGCCAGAGTGTTTGGCCGAAAATGGTTATGCGATTATGCCCGCTGTATCTGAAGAAAATGGGATATTTCGCCATAAGTTGTGGCCGTTTTCGTGGAACATCTTGGGTCTCAGCCTCGAATCATTTAGAATCCATTTGCAAAAATAGATGCAGAAAGATGGGAACATCCACTAGAAATAGTTTTTGCACAATACAGGGTACCCTCTGGTGAACTAACATAGCAATGGAAAATGGCCATAGAAATAGTGGATTTTCCCATGAAAAATGGTGATTTTCCATTGCTATGTTAGTTCACCAGAGGGTAGCCAATCAACCGGGGAACCTGACAATGTGGATACCTTCTCCGGCATGGCGCTGGGACTCAGCTGCCTGCATCTAGGCATTGCATGGGACATTTTCCAGAACTACACAACCCCAATTGTTGAAAGATATGCAGTATACGATTTACATATATTAATAATACATAATACTAGCAGTATTATTATTGTTGATTGTTCCCCTTATTAATATTAATGTCGATTTAAGAACCATTGATGATGAATTTAGCTACACTTTTCCATGAATCTTACGAAGATAGACCATGCTTCACCACATACGATTTGCAGCCCGTGGTTTTACCATGGAAAGCCCTCAACTGCTCCAGGTTCATCGGCGCCGTGACGAACACTGGGCGAACGGCCTTGCACTTGGCCAGCGTCAACGGCCACCGAAAGTGTTTGAATATCTTGCTGGGAGGCCCAGGGGTCCAGGATATAATGGGAAATGTTGATTGAACCACTAAGAAATACTACACATGGTGATTCAACATTATATGTATATATATATATTATATATATGCTCAGCGCCCCCCCCAGAACCCCCAAGCAACCTATATATATATATATATGGGATGATATACCCTTCAAGTGGTAAACTAACATAGCTCTGGAAAATCACCATGTTCAATAGGTAAATCAACGAACAAAATGGGCCATCTATAAGCTATGTTAGCTTAGGTGAGGCCGAAGTGGAAAAAATCACCATGTTGTCCGGAAAAACTCTCGAACAAAATGGGGGGCTGTCATTGCTAAAATTGGTGTAACATCCATAAGTTACCCTCTGGTAAACTAACATAACTATGGAAAATCACAATTTTTAATGGGAAAATCCACTATTTCTATGGTCATTTTCAATAGCTATGTTAGTCATTACCAGAGGGTATATACTGTATATATAGTTTCCCATACTAAATCCTTCGGCAGTGTCCTGGTAGGTACCTGGAATATCTGGCCCACGTTTTTAAGGGGAAGCCAAGGCTTCGAACGCACATGGCCAAAAAGCTCATGACGACGCAAAGTGCCCGGGGGAGCGGCTGTGGTTGAACAGGTACCCTCAACGAACGTAGCATAGCTGTGGAAAATCATCATTTTTAATAGGTAAGTCTGCTCTATAAAGAGCAATTTTCAATATATAGCTTTGTGAAACTACCGGGGTGCATATGCCCAAATAGCAAATGTCATTGGGGAAAATGATTTTTCTAGTAGTGGATCTTTAGGCAACCCTATTTTTGGACATGTTCTTGTTGGTAATGACTACACATCATTATTCATTAAGAGAGAGAGAGAGAGATCTATTTGAATAAGAACACCATGACCAGCGGCGTCAAACACATTTCCGGCATCCCTAGGCAGGATCCCAAAGTGTGGATTGATCATGAGGGGTTTTGTTTTGGAATACCCTTTGGTAATTTGATTGAACATATTGATTACCATTTTGAATGTTCACCTTTGAACATCATCAATACGTTTAATTAGGTAATATGACATATTGATTGAACATATTGATTGAACATCACCTTTGACAGGGAAATCATCTATAGGTGGACCATGTTCCATGGCAACAGCCCGAACATCACCGATGTTTCCAACGGGAGGTATGGATGGTCACACGGCTATGCACTTGGCTGCGCGCTTTGGACAAGAGAACTGCGTGAAGACGTTGGCCAAGAAACTGCCAGACTTAGTCAAGGCTAGAGGGGTGGGGAAAGTCACCACAAGTGCTATGTGAATTATTTCATTTATTGTCATCATTTTAATTACCCTGTGGTTATTTAACATAGCCATGGAAAATAGCCCATTTATAGTTTACCTGTTAAAAATGGTAATTTTCCATGACTATGTTAAATAACCAGAGGGTATATAGCTTGTGTCGTCAACATTTGATTTCTCATTTTTTCGTTGGGAAGGAAGTTTGGATGAATTGCCTGGGTAGAGTCAAGGTGATTCAAAAACTGCTGGGATGGGCGGGGTGAGAAACTCCCAGTGAAATTACCCTCTGGTAATTTAACATAACTATGGAAAATCACAATTTTTCATGGGAAAATCCACTATAAATGGCCATTTTCAATAGCTATGTTAGTCATTACCAGAGGGTAAATCAGTGGATGACCCTTGTTTTCATACTTCGTCCAAGGGACAACTTGGATGTGCGAATCCCAGTTGGGAAGTGCTTCATAACCCATATTAATACAATTATATACACATATAAATCACATATAACAATTTTATACGTATAATATAACATGATATAATATGATATATAATATGTTTTTATAAATGTATATATATATGTAATATGATATAATATTATTTGATATAATATAAAAATACAATATAATATGATATATATATATGTGTTATAATATGAAACACATGTAATATAGTAATAATATAATATAATGTAAGTAATGTAACATAATAGAATATATTATATGTATATTATCCCATAAAAATACTGGGACTGGGTTGTAATACCTGGTATGGTCCTAACCCTCCGTGGGATGCAGCACCAAGAAGGCCCATCGTCGCAGGTGAAGAACTTCTCGGGGCATCCCTCGTTGCACGAAGCGGCACGGCGCGGCAACAACAAGTGCGTGGAGACGCTCATGGCGTTTCCTGCCGTGGATCCATCGGGTTATAACATATCATAGCCCTATACATAGCCCCTCACAAGCTGGGATCTAACTCCGATAATTTAATGGCCATGTGTGTGTCATATATTTAATAATTATATATATATATATCTGTCTATAATAGTATATACATACATACGTTATATATATATATATTAATAATAATAAATAATAATAAAAATTATTATTATTATTATTATACATGCGTGTGTGTATTTGTGTGTTTTGGGTTCCCCGCGAATGGTTCTCAGTTGCCCTCCTGAGACTTGGGGGCGGCAACGAGCTCTCCAAGAGCACCAAGTACTATGCAGAGACGCGTGGGCACAGCAGCTTGGCACCGGCAACGCAAATCTATGCGGATATTGAGGTAAACCAACTTGATGCGGATAGTTTGTGACATTTTGTGGTGAAGTGGTAAATCAACTGGCAACTGAGAACTGGCAATGTGGATGCATATTGGATTGCACAGGGTTCTTAGAAGAAGTCATCGCTTGGAAGCCACTTGAGTCTTTCAACATACTGTAGCCCTATCCTGCACACCAAGCAGTTGCAGGATTCACCGTGTGCCATGATTTTGCCATGACCTGCTAGTTTTGTTCGCAGGTTGCCAGCTGCACTTGGCTGTCGTGACAATACTCTCGGCATCATTCTCTTGTTCTTGTTGGGCATGTTGCTTCTACCCATGGTCTTGGTAGCTTCTGAAAGTAGGAATACCTTCAAATCATCCAAGTTTGGATTATTTTAGTACTGAAACCACGTGGTTTAGTCTATACCCTCGATTTGAAGAACACCCCATAACAGTTCTTTTGCTTTTGTAGGCTCCCACAAAACGTCGCTGGAATGATTTAGGTGACATCGCTGATGCTCTGATAGAGATGGAACAAAGGTTCAAGCGTCAGCAGACAGCCTTGTTACTCCGCAGTCAGCCCGCGGGATTGGTGGGTGGAATATAGATGAACACACACACACACGTGATCTCATGTTATCTCCTATGGATACAGTAAATGTATATAAATGTGATATTTTTTTTTTCATTTTTGTACCGCTGACTGTCATGCCAACATCACATCATTCTCTTTTGGGTACCACCTCAATCTGGTTTTCGCACTTGTAACCCACGCACTTATAGAAACGTATATAAATATGGTTCATATACATTATACAGTACCCACACACGCACATATATATATAATATCATATATAATTACACATGCATAACATGAATATAGTCTATATATTTCTATATTTATATTTCTACATTATATAGGGAGAGAAATGTTGCCATATGTTGCCTACATGATTATATTGTTAGATATATATATATATACACTCCCCATTGTCCACACCCAAGGCTGCGGAGGCGTTCCACGCGCTCCATGTCATTCTCACAGTCCTTGCCCAACATCGCAATGTGAATCGCGCTCTTGGGCTCCGTTGTGGGCTGCGTAGCTTTGTGCGGAATATGTGGGATATGGATAATAATGCTCATATAATGCTCAGGAGAAACACGTAATGTTGACATATGTTGACAAAACAAGACAAAATATGACAAAAGAATGTAGCATATGACCATCGCAAATCATGGGGTATTGAGATAACAAAGCAACCATAGAGTATATGCTGGGATAAATGAAGCCAGGATACGGACAATGCCAAGTCCCTAGGTAGGGCCCAATTTCATAAACCATCATAAACCACTACTATCCAGATCTATCCAGGATGATGACTAATGCTGATCCTCAATGATAAAACTCAATTAAACTGGTAGATAACCCTGGTCATGGGCAGTTATGGGCCATATAAGTTACATATGACTTACCAGTTACAGTACCCCATCTATCAGTGGCACAGGCTGTAGGCCACCGTGGACCTCAGCTCCAGACGTGTTCTGGGTTTCGGGTTTCATTTGATGATCCATTGCTGGTGCCTCGATGATTGCTGGTAAGTCATATCGCATGTTTCATCCAAGAATTGTTCAAATGCCTTGAAATGCAGAGAAATATGCCGGATTGTATCGTAATCATACCAGGATCAACTACAAGAGGTAGATGCAGAGGCATCAGAGCAGTTTCACCCAACTCGGCTGCTTTTTTTCAGCAGCACCGATCTTGGAAGCAAAGCTCCAAATCGCAAGATGTGTTGGCAGTTGTAGATTTGTTCTTTGTGCTTTCAAAAATGCGGCGAGCCAGGGCTTGGAGTTAGTTTGCTGAGGTTTTCCGCTCTGAAAGGCAGTATGCTGATGTATGCGCTATATATATAATATTATGTCACCTGAATTTGTTGGTTCTGTTGGTTGTCACGTGATATTAAAATGTGTTCATTCAGGAACTTTTTGTTATTTTCATTCATTTTCATTTCATGGTTGGTATGTGCTGAGGGCCGCCCTGCACTGCTGCTTGTCGGTGTTACTGATAAATCTCACCGTTACAGGTAGATAGATATTGATGCCCTTGTCTCCTAGGCCTCCACTATGGACAAGGGTCAAGAATTTAAGACCCAGAATGACCCAGAAAACACAGATATAGACTAGACATAGTTTCGTATCTTTAGGAGACACCCGTCCCACTTGAAACCATCCCAGCTTTTCGGAGCATACTTCGACTCTGCAGGCGTTGACGCTGAGACATCTCCTGCCTCTGCTTCTGAGGCGCCGTCCGCGGACCGAAACGGGATGGGGCTGTCAACTGCCGCGCCGAGGATTTGTCGATGCTGGCAGAACACCTTCAACAGGTGCGGAGCGTAAAGTGGGAAGCAAGACTGCAGGTGAAACACCGCGGAATACGAAGTCTTCGTGATGTGGTATGCTTCTGTTAGCATAATCCAGAATGTGTTGTCAAAAACTGTGACCTATTTGTCGATCATCCTGAGATTCTGAACTCACTGCAACCATCATCAGCACTCTTCATCCAATAATTTCACCATGTTTTATCATGATTTATCCATGTTTCATCCATCATTTTCACTCATGTTCCATCATTTTCCATAGTTTTCACATCATTGTTCCATATTTTCCCACATGCTTCCCTCACGGTACTGGTCCGCTTTCAGCGGGGTCATGTGCCGCACCAATTCTTGGAGACCCACAGGCGCTTGATGTGCCGCCGACGACGAGGATAGCCATTCCATGTTGACGGGTGGTTTGGTGGTTTGTTAAATCGAATTGCATTTAATTTGTTATTGATAATGATATTAATCAATATATCATAGTAAGAATAATGATAGTCAAAGCATCATTTGATAAGAAACAATGAGAATGATCATCATTATGTAAGCATGGAATATGGAATATGATAGTATGAACTGCAGCAATATGGCTTCACAACGCGCTTCATGCCACGGCTTCCCCTTGGGATGATGATCCCCAGGAACGCCGGGAGCCATCAAAGTGCAGGCACCGAGGGATACGAAAGCCGGATGCCCAGTTGGGGCAG